TGCCTTCAAGTTTCTATTCCTCAACACGCCAGAAATCAGAGCAATTAAACATTCACAATAAGTTCTGAATACGACCACATCTGTGTTTCTTATAATAAATGGCTAACTTTTTATACAGAATACGTTTTGTGATGCTTTGAAAAGATCACTTGCAAAGTCATTAATTTTAATTTGAGAGGTTTGGAATTAGCTGAAGCATAACAGCCTCTTGAATCTCCAATATTTTAAGGACAGGAAGAAAGCTTAAGGGAGAAAAAGGCTCCACATGCCCGCTGTAGCAAAACACACACACACACTCTCTCTCTCTCTCTCTCTCTCTCTCTCTCTCACTCACACGCCCCAGTCAGAAAAAGGTTTTTTTTCCGTTCCACAAAAAGAAGTCTGATTGTTCTTCTTTGATTTTTTAGGGTACATATTTTGTGTTTTTAACAATAGCAAATAGAAAAACAAATTTTACTTGGGGCTGTACATGAACTTTGGCTTTTTAAAGTAGGTATGAATAAGTGAAAAGGATAAGCAAAGTAATTTTGTTATAAATTTTGAATTGTATACTACTTGTATTTAAGTTTTGACTCGGTAATGTCCAGTGGTGCACTGGAGTCATCTGACTCAGCCAATTGTACCCATATTTTCCCAACTCTACATTCATATGGCCATGGGAGTAGTATTTATACCATGGAAATTGGCACACACTACAAATCAAGGTTTCTTCCACCTCCCCCAAGAGCCAGTTGTTAAACATTTACCACTCCCCATCCCGAATGTACCTATTTAATTTTCATTTTTTACAGTCAAATAATAGCTTTAGGTTTCATTGAAGATAGAGAACTGATGTAGAATGGTGGTGAAGAGCAGAGGCACTGAAGCCAAACTGCCTGGGTTCAGATACAAGTTCTGCACATATTAGCTTGTGTTATCCTAGGCAAGTTAGTCACTCTTAATCTCTAATGGGATAATAGCAATGCCTACCTTATAGGGTTGATGTAAGGATTAAATATGTTAATACAGGTAAAGCACTTAGAATAGGGTCTAGTTTACAGATGAATCTTATCTGGCAATTTGTTATCCAGAACATAGCCAGGGTTCAGGAAGTAAACAAAAATGTCACTGAGCAACCAAACTAAATATCAGAGGGTGGTACTTGCACCGGAAGCCCTCAAGGCTGTCTCTGGGAGCCTGTTTTATTCTTTGTTTAGATCCAAGCTTGACTGACTTTTTAGAGCTGACAGTAGATTAGATGTATAAAATTAGAAAGAGAGGAGAGATGCTGCTAGAAGCAACAAGTGACAACCTCTCTCCCCCAAAGAAAATTACCCAAAGTGAGAACTCAAAAATGAGTCAGAGGGGCTTCCCTGGTGGTATAGTGGTTGAGAATCTGCCTGCCAATGCAGGGGACACGGGTTCGAGCCCTGGTCCAGAAAGATCCCACATGCCGCAGAGCAACTAAGCCCCTGTGCCACAACTACTAAGCCTGAGCTCTAGAGCCTGCGTGCCGCAACTACTGAAGCCCACGCGCCTAGAGTCCGTGCTCCGCAACAAGAGAAGCCCGTGTGCTGCAACGAAGAGTAGCCCCTGCTCGCCGCAACTAGAGAAAGCCCGTGCACAGCAACGAAGACCCAACACAGCCAAAAAATAAATAAATAAAATAAATAAATTTTAAAAAACGAGTCAGACTGGATGATATCTAAGGTCCATTCCAGCTCTCCAAGTCTGTGACTTTGGTGAAAAATCATAACAGTTTGGGGACAAATAACCTAACTACCGTATTAAATAATGGCTTACAGAGATGATCCACTATCAACAGTAAATCATAATCAGTATATCCTAGTTAGGAAAATAGGGCTGTATGGATGACTTTTTAAAATGTCCATTCAAAATTGTTGAAATTAAGTATTTGTGTAAAACTTTTTGTTACTTGGGAATTTAACTTATATGGAATACCTAATTCTCTGACAATACCAGATAAAGGAAGGCGTTACTGTAGTTAATTAAGACAGTCTCTGCCCTTAAAATGTTCTTTAGAGAGGGGGTAACAGAGGAGCAAAGAGGGAACATTTACATTCTCACTTGGAACTCGGGAAAATAACACAGGAGGCAGCATTTGAGCTGGGACTTGAGTAACACATAGACAGGCAGAGAAGGAAGGGGGAGTGTCAGAGCAGATGTAGAGCATTTTAGGCTGAGAGAACAGAATGAGCAAAAGGAAAGTTATGAAGAGTGAATGACACTAGCCGATCCCATGTGGCTGGATCTAAGTGTTCATGAGATGGGGGTGTAGTGGAGGTACATCAAACTGGAAAAGTTGGCTTGGGACCAGATCATGTAAGGCTTTAAATGCTAGGCCAAGAAGTCAGAAATTTAATGAGTAATAACGAGCCACTAAAGACTTTTGAGTAGGGAAGAGGCATGATCCAACCAAGTGATGACAAATGACAACCAGGAAGGCTGATGAAACTTTAAGGGAAGGGGGAAAGTTGGAGTTAGAGTGACCAGTTAGGAGGTTACTGAAGTAGCTCAGGCAAGGAAATTATGAGGGCCTACATTATAGGGCAGCAGGAA